AATTTATTTTAAATATATTTTTAATAAAAATTTAAAATTTTGCAGTGATACTGTGCCAGCAAAAAGTTTATCATAATCTTTATCTCTAGTTCTAATTAAAAAAATATCATTAGAGACACAAATAATTCAGTGTGAAGTAAATGCCTTAATACTGTAATGAATCTGTAAAATTAGTATCAAACAGCTGCTATATTTGCCATGAGTTAGAGATTATGGGCAGGAGTTGGAATGGTAAAATAACTAGTATTAATCGTTTGGTAATTCTTAAACCAAAAATGTGTTTCAGAGTTTTCAGTGGAAATGCATGCAGAGATGTTAGAGTCCCATTTCTGCTATCTTAATTCATGAAGGGGAGAAAAAGACAATTGCAGTTGTTCTTCCAGTTCTGTCTGTGCCTTAATCACGCTTCACAGATTGAGTCAGCTCTGCTGTGTTTTAACTGGTATTTGAGCTTTTTAGTAATTGATTTTTTGCATGTTTCTTAACATTCTGAAAAGATCTCTAGTTTCTGAAAAACAACAAAATGTTAAATTTCCTAAGATCTTAATTTATTATTTTTTTTTTTTTTTTTTTGCAGAATCAGAAACAAATTTAGTTAAATGCAACTGAGACTATTTACTTAGCTGTTTTTTTTGTCATTTATACAGTCACTTACATTGCCTTGTAACGGAAACTTGTGTTTTTTAAACTGTGCTAAAGAAAAGTCATGAGAAGTCCCAGCACATTAGTTCATCGTGCCTTGCTTGGAATTGTACTGGCATCTGTTTGAAGTATTAGGGGGAAGACATAGATAAGGATATTGTTCATCACCCAGAGAACCTTCCATAAAATTATGGAGCCAATCTTTCAAAACACTTTTTTGTTTTATTTTACAAAAATAAATTTTTCTTTCATTTGCTACTTGGAAGTTCAGTCTTCACAATAATTACCCAGTAGTATTTCATGGGGAAGCACTTAAGAATAACTTGTTGCTGTTTTAAGGAAAAAATAAATAAATTCTCAAATTAAGAATAAATAATCTTTTAATAGGAAGGCTACCACTATGCCAAAATCTCACTTTGGGAATACTGTTCTGTTGGTCGGTAGTTTTTTAATACGAGAATGGTTAAAAAAAAAAAAATCACTAGTTTAAAGGAATAAAAAAAAAAAAAAAGGCAGAAAACATGGATTCTTTTTCATTTCAGCTTAATAGAGCATTCCAAGAAGAAGAATCTCCGTCAACATTTTACTGCATCAGTATGCAGTGGTTCAGAGAATGGGAAGGATTTGTAAAGGGTAAAGATAGTGGTAAGTTGTGCTCCATGTCAAGAATATGGGTAGTTTTTTCTTTTCTTGTCATGTAGTGGTACTGTTTAAATTTTCTGCCTTGGTGGAAGGTTGTAGGAAGAACAGATAGAAAAGGCAACAAAAGCTCATCAAAAAAGCATCTAAGACACAGGTTTTATAGGTTCCAAATATGTCCAGGAACAAAATTACAGAGTATAGTCAAATAATTCACAACAACAGGAAAGAATGTTGCCTGTTTGCAAGGGGGTTGCTGTTAGAAGGAGCAGGAAAAAGGGATGGATTTTGCTGTGCAAACTGATGGATAATACTACAGCTTCCAGAGGAAAAGTGACCTCATTGTCACAACCTAAACTTACGGATAACGAAGTAACAAATATAAAAATATCACTTTAGCCTACTTTAGGTGCCTCTAAAGTTTTGAAATTGAAACACTGATAATATATTCTACGTTACTGTGTAAGCCTGGTCTAGGACAACTTAGGGGTAAGAGGATTAATTTTTGGTTTACATTGCTTGAAGACTTGCTGTAATCATGAATGCTTTGAAAAACTTGATTAAAATTCTGATTAGCTTTTAACAGCTTGGAACATACTGTTAAGCAGTGCAAGAACAAGCAGTTAACAAAGGAGCTACATCTCCTTCCCTTTAAAAATAGAACCTCCAACCTGCCATTTCTTTTCAGCTCTCCCAATTCTAATCATCTTTCTGTCACAATAGATCCTCCTGGTCCTATCGATAACACTAAGATTGCAGTAACAAAATGTGGAAATGCTGTGCTAAAACAAGGTAGGTGTCCAGTATTGCTGCTACTTTGGACTCCTTATGATGTGTTTGAAGTTTGGAGAAGTTATTATGAAATAACGTATCATGAAATAGCAATTCCTAGTTAATCTGTGTTGTGCTCATTTTGAGGGGTCCAGTTTATGCTTAAAATCAAGAATGAATATCTACCATGGACTAATCCAAGTGCAGATAAGAGTGTAGAAGGAAGTGGAAATTAAAATGGCAAAAGTGTGCTTTGACTTTGTATCACTTGGTTTGATTTGGGTTTTCCTAACATAATTTAGGAAATGTTTGGCTTTTAAACTGTCATATGTATATATATATATGTATGTAGTTATTTGGATCTGGAAACCTAATTTGAATTGAGGGCTTCTTCTGAAAGATGGAAATAAACCACAGTAAGTAAATGTTCTTTCTCATTTTTCTGTTAGTTATTTGCCACTGTACATTACAAAAACTTCTCTAGCATGCAAAGATATAGATTTCTTTTTTACTTTTCACAGACAGGTACTTAATATAATTTATTTGAAATTTGCAGGTAGAGAGAAAAAAATTCTAAAGTGGCCTACTTTACTGAGACTTTAGACTGTCTATGAATATTTAAACTAATTTTAGCTCATCTTAAAAAAAAAAAAAAAAAACAAAAAAAAAAACCAAAAAAAACCAAAACACCCACAAAAAACACACACACTAAATTACAGCATTAAGATTAACATTTATTTAACTGGGTATTTTCCCTATCCAAGTTAGTGCCTCAGCATCTAGTGGTCATACTAATGGCCATTCACTGGGGGCCACTAGGTCCTGCACACTAGGTCCTGCATAAACCTCACCAACTGTAAAATTTAAAGATTATACTTAAAGAGAAGGAGTTCTTGCACTTGTTAGTTTTGCAGTACATTTTAATGATTTAAGCACTAATGTAGAATTCTAATACAAGCTATAAAGCATCTGACGTACAGCAAAGAAAAATAAATTAAAATTTAGAATCAATACTTGATAGCAAATTAGCCAGTTGCTGAGTTACCTTCAGATACATGGATTCAAGTAAGAACTTGGGTACAAATGAAGGCAAATAGGCTGTGGAAAATTTCTGTCTTAGGTCATAAGGGCAGAAGTTGGGAGCGCCACTAAATAGTGTACAGTATTGTGTTACAGTGATCCAGTGGTCCTGATCCCAGTGCACTGTTTCAGTGGGTGTGTTCAGCTAAACCTAACCACTAGAAAAGCCGGAATCTGGATAACGAAGCAAAGATCTCTTCCCGTGCCTCGAGAGATGGAAGGCTTTTATGAGAACATGAACCTAAATGAGTACAACTGAGGCATAAGGTCATTAGTACGGGTATAGGATCTGCACTACGACTTTCAGATGAAGCTTTGTGTAGTTGACTTAGTATAGGTAAACAAATGTGCAGCTCTTTGTACCCTTCCTCTTTGGAAACTTTTTATTCATAAAGTACAGTAGCAGCCCCTGAAGCAGGTGGTGAGGACAGAAGAATATAGGAGGTAGGAGAAGTCGTCATCTTGTTATGGTGCTGCTTTTTTTTTTCCCCTCTCCTTCTTTCTGGAAGTAGGAGGGTGCTGAAATTGGGCTTGACAAGACAGATTGATAGTATCTAAACAGGATATTTGGGGAAACTTGCTGCAGGGTAGATTTTTAATGGGTTGCTTAAAGAATCACAGAATAGTAGGGATTGGAAGGGACCTCTGGAGATCATCTCTTCTATCCCCCCCCAAAAGCAGAGGGGGTTTATTCTGGTAGAATAGAGGTTTGTCCTCTCTGCCTAGGTTAGTGTGAAGAAATCACTTCAACTGTATCAGACTGTTAAGACCTAGAGGGGTGATGCGCTGATGCTCTCTTGGCCTTTGCCCCTGTAAAGCATTATGGAAAATGTTTATTATGGATGGTGACTTGAGACAGGGAAGGGATCTCTAGCCAGAGAAATAGAATTGTAAACAAATACTTTAATAGGTGAGCAAAAAGAAACCAGGCTGACCCATCAGTGCTACTAAATAAAAGGAGCATCAGTGGGGTTCTTATTGTCATAACAGTGGTTTCTCTTAGGGGGTTCTGAGAATTTCACTGTGGTTCTCACATGTTTTTTTCTTTACTATTAGTATTGATTATTTGATGAAACAAGAATCTTGAGTCCTCAGACTTTACTGTGTAATTGATGGGACTTCACATCCTTATTAATATGAATCATGGTTTCCTATGTACCAGTTGTCAGCTTGATAATAAATGTGAGATGTTTATCATAGAACCTTCTTGTGCTTTATACTTGAGGTATATTAATTGCTGTATAATTTAAAGCAGGTAGTTGTAAGAGTCAAGAAATATATAATTAACACAAACTGTGTCACTGGGTTTGGCAGTTGCTGCAAAATAAAGCACAAATTCAGCTTAGGGTTTTAAATTTTAATCTTTTTTTTTTTTTTCTTTTTGTATCTGTTATGGATTTCAGATAAATCAATTAAAATTTTAAAAATGTTTTCAGGTGCAGATTCTGGACAAATATCTGAAGAAACATGGAATTTTCTTCAGTCCATCTACGGTGGAGGCCCAGAGATTATACTCAGACCACCTGTTCCTCCAGCAGAACCTGATATCTTGCAAACAGAAGAGAAGATTGAATTAGAAACTCACGGTCTGTAGCTATTGAGAACAAGATGAACTTGTGAGGAAGCTGGATTCCTTACAAAATGCCCAAAATACATTCCTAAAAGTTTTACGTCTGTTGGAGGCACAGCTCACTGGGCATTACATTAACTAGAGAACAGTAAGTTGAAATATGTATTACAGTTTGCTTGAAGAGAGGCTGCTTCTCTTGTTTGAAAGGCATATAGTTTGTACATTTTTTGAGTGTTTGGTCAATGGAAAAAATGTAATTTCTGAATTTTTTGGCATAAATCAAAACCTTGTTATATCCTTAGACTTGAAAAATGGGGACAAATTTCAGAGATGTTCAGTAACCCTTCTGATTCCTGATTGGGCTTCTGATAGCTACAAACTTTTGCCTGTCTTAATTGTACAGTCTTGACAAACCTAGGTATATGGGAAGTATATTTTAAATGGATTGCAAACAATGCTAAAAGGATTTTTATTTCCTAAATGCTCAGGAAAAAAATTCTCACTTATTTTGCACTGTAAGTGTATGAAATGGGTAGTATATAACATCCAAATAGTTACTGTATTTGAATGGATCAAACATTAGTGTAGATGGAATATTGTTTTAGTCAGCAAATGTCATAACTTATTACCTACTAAATTTTACATCTTATGGTGTTCTGTAACTCTATAAACCTGCTAGTGTCTTTAATACTATATATGACAAAAAAACCTTAGTCTACTCTAGGGTAACATTTGAGAGCATGAAGTGTGAAATGTGAAATGATTATGGACATGAGTGATACAAACTTCAGAAATTAAATTGTCTGGTCTTTTGAATTACATTCATAAACCATTCTGTTTGAAGGATTTTATTGCATTGTTAAAAATTTGCATTGGCATGATGACTTATAATATCAGAAGCTGGCTAAAATGTATATATTGCAAAACTTTACTGAATGATTCATACTGGAATGCAGAATGGCACTTGCTCTTGGTTTTGCCTGATACTGTTAGCAAATAAGCAGCATTATTGAAGGCTGGATCAATTAAAAAAAAAAATAAAGTATGAAAGAGGGGGGGAAAAGCTTTCTTAAGTTTTTTTATTTATTATCTCGATACAAACATTTTTGGAGTAATACTGTGGTACTGCTCTTACACCCATATAACAGGTTGGGTTTTTTTAAACTGCTTTGTTTAGGCAGTGATGTTGACAGTTGCAGCTTCAGAGAAAGAAAATGCTGACATAGCATTCTTCTGGATAATTTTATTTCTAGTATAAAATCAAACTGGTTTTGAACTTTCTAAAGCACTTAAAGCCACTCTGGTTAAAAAGCCACCGATAAGAGTCCCAGAGAAAGTGTCCTCTAACCTCAAGTACTTGGTATTGTGCCATACAGGAGGAGTCAGTTCTGTCTAAATGTAGATGCTAGTATTTTCCTCATCCTACCTGAGAAGAACTAAAGCTAAGAACAGGGCAGTGCAAGTAAGAGGGGTGAATGGACAACAGCATGAAGTCAATGATTATATGGCTGGTACATAGGGAAAAATTTTTCAGTTTTAAACTATATCACGGGTAACTCTTGGTCAGCCTGTTAAGTTTCTGAACTTACTTATGTAAGTGTTCCTCTTCAAATTCTAGAGGAGGTCATGGGATGTTGGCCACTGAGAAGCCTTGCATGTACATAGGTATAAATGTAAAGAAACACTGAGCAGATGCTTTTTGTCTGACAGTGAATGCATTTGGACAGTTCTATATTACTAGATAAGGTAATTTGAAGTTAATATCAAGTTACCCTGTATGTACAAGGTACACACATCAGTTGCTACTACAGGCTTGACTTAATGATTAAGGTGAAGTTAACTTAGTTATGAACAGTCAATAGTCACTTGCTGACCTCAGCTTGTGAAAGCCTGTTTTAACTTCCAACCTCCTTTTTTTTTTTTTTGTCCTTTTTTTTATATAAGGTTGACTAAACGAAGCCTGTTTTATTTTTTATAAGGTTTTAGTCTAAACTGAAACCTTCTTTAAGGTTTTATCTCACTTAAGCCATTCTTAAGGTTCTCTAACATACTGAAGCTAAATAACAATGAACAGGTCTGCATACTTTAGGAAGAATTTTTCTGACATTGTTTCCCAAGTTTTCAATTAAAACACTTTGTTAGTTAAAGCACTGTATAGTGATCAGGTTTACCATTTTATTCAATGTTTTCACTAATATTTTGGATGGTGGAACAGACTGCCCATGTAAGCCCTGCAAGAGAAGGTTTGAGTATTAGTTTGTTGGGGGAATGAAGCAGTTCTGTGCTAAGTATTCTGGGTATTGCAACAGATCAGACTAAGAGTTAAATATCCAGTGATATCAAATCAAAACCTGTTCTTGGTAATAGTAACAAAAGCATCAGATGTGAGGCACAGGAGGTAATTATTCTGCTCTACTTGGTGCTGTGCTTGTGAGATCTCATCTGTACTGTTGCCAGTTTTGGATGATGTATGTTGATGAAATACAAGTTAAGAAAAGACTGGTTTAGAGAAAAGCAACAAGATTCACGTTTGAAAATGAAGTTGCTTTCTCACTCAGAAGAATACTGAACGTGCAAGACTTCCAACGGGGAAATAATTGCTGGATATTAGTGAACAATTTTTCCTAGATGAGTAGGGACTTTTATTCCTCAGCTTTACCAATGGTGACTTCTGCTGGGTTTAGGTAGTCTGTTAGAAGTCTAGCAAACTTCTAGCAGTTCTGTCAGTCTTTTCCACTGGGTGTCTGGGAATCCACAGCCAAACTGATCTTAAACATAGATCAGTAATGAGATGCTATAAACTAGCAGAGTTTGTGAAATGCCTCTGTCACCACAGTAAAAGGCATCTTCACAGTGCAACTGTTTGCCATGCTTTAAAAAAGAAGTTGCCCCAGGTTTGCAGAGATTAGATAGATGTGTTTGTGTTTAAGGCAGACAGTTCCAAAGGGATGACTGTCTTGCTTTTAGCCCTTTGCGAGCTCTACGAGGGTTTTTACACCACAGAAATAGAAGTAGCCTTTTAAAGTAAGACAGTGTGGAAGAACTCCAGATGGATGGCTTGTGTATGCTGGAGGGAAGCAACAATTCAGAGAATAGGTAGAGGAGAATTATTGTCAAGAGACGTCTGATTTGCAGCAAAGAAAGCTGTCAAGAGCTGTCTGATTTGCAGCAAAGAAAGAATGTATTTCAGGAAGGGGCTGTGGAAATTATTTTTTTCCATAAGCCTTTCACCAGACTATTTGGATTCTTTGTTCATTTGTTTCCAGTTGAGGAAACACAGCAATGTGTTTGTGTGCCAGGGAAGCTGTCATTTCAAGAAGGGAAAAACCCAGTGGAGTCCTTGTTTTAGGCCTGGGAATCTAGGTTTGAGCTGTTAAATGCCTGCTGTTCAGTCTGGTAACTTTAATCCTCTGTTGTGGAGAAAACTGCATGGGACTTGTGGGGGACTTGCCAGCTCAAAGCTTGATTTCTCTAAATTTTTGAACTTTTTGAGCAAGTAGTATAGCTGTTCATCTGAGCCCCCAACATCAAGGAAAGTGTATCAGAAATTGTGTGATGTAGCTGAACAGTATAATTGGAGAGAAAAAGATGAGTGGAAAAGCTACTGAATTACTCAATAGTAAAATAAAGTACTTCTGTAATACGCTTCAGAGACGAGAGCTAAGTAGTCCATCTCCTTAATAAAGCAAATAAAAATGGCCTGCTTCTTAGCTGTAAAATTATCCCATGGTACACTGTTACTGACTGAAGGCCAGTCTCTCCCTTTCCTGTGACTGAGACATTAGAAAACTAAGGAAGTTCTGAAGAAAATTCTGTGATGCCAATTCATTGTTTAACTTCAGTGAACCAGAAAGCTGTTTCTGAAAGTATAATCTAAGTTAGTCCTGTGTCTAGGGATATATGTGTGGATAGTTAGATATATACACATCTAAAAATGCACACAATCTATTTCTCCAGTCTCTTAATTGAACTGTGGCTGGAGGCACTACAGTAGTTATTTTTGGTTCTGTGTTGGAATAGTGATCTTGAGTAGATACATCCAGTAAAGGTTGGGATTCATTTTCAAATTGATAAATGACACTCAACTGACTGTTGGAATGGGTGTCAGCTTTTGCATCAGAAATGGCCTGAAAATTTGCTAGGTGAGATAGAGACTTCACATGCTGTTCAAAAGCTGTATTAAGGTAAGATGAAAAAGGGCAAATATTAATTCATATCAGACAAACTCAGAACCATCTTGATAACTCTACAGATTTTATTTGAAAACGATTGTTGTTGTCAGGTGTTGAGCAGCCTGAATGCAGTGTTTTCAGGCATCCTCTAACATCTATTTAACAAAAACTGCTGTATGGTAAGTTCTCTGTGGTGAGACACTACAACCTGCCAAAGCTGAACTCAAGGGAGAACAGCCACACCCATTGTCCCTACATGTCACTGATAGTGGCAAACAGATCTTGCATTTGAATTTTACTGCTTTGTAGACACAGTACTATGACTTGCAAACCTACTATATGCATCTGGCTGAATGGAAGCTAAATTTATTTAGGTTTTTTAATTAATCTATTTCTTCTCCCTGGTGATATAGTATTTGATGTGGAAGTTCTCTTCTGTGTAGCTTTGCTTAGGAGCCACATAGTCATGTGAGAATACTTGGTGTTCTATCAGCGGAGCTGTGCTGATAAGAATTAACTTCTGACCAAGCTATCCAAGTAGAGATGTCAGAAGATCTAAGCTAACAAGTAGTAATGTGATTGTCCCTGCTCTGAAGGCTAGATGATAATGCAGTCTTAGAAATCTGTCCTTGCAGCAGAGCACAATGCTCAGTGACATCTGAAAGAATTTACATTTGGAGAGAGTCCAGCGGAGGCTACGAGGATGACTGGGGGACTGGAACGCCTGCCATATGAGGAGAGGCTGAGAGACCTGGGGCTTTTTAGTCTGGAGAGGAGAAGACTTAGGGGGGATTAATGTGTATAAATAATGAGGGCTGAGTGTCAAGAAAAAAAGGGCAACCTCTTTTGACTTAAGCCCTGTGATAGATCCTATGATAGGACACGGGACATTAGACACAAGCTGGAGCACAGGAAGTTCCACCTGAACATGAGGAAGAACTTCTTTACTGTCAGGGTTACAGAGCACTGGAACAGGCTCCCCAGGCAGGTTGTGGAGGCTTTTTCCTTGGAGGCTTTTAAGACCCATCTGGATGTGTTCCTGTGTGACCTGCCCTAGACGAGATGGTCCTGCTCTGGCAGGGGGGTTGGACTCAAACTCTGCAGGTTCCTTACAACCCCTAACATTCTGTGGTTCTGTGATTACCCTGTTATTCATCATATAAGTTAATTTGGAAAAACAAACCTGATATTTGGAAAAATACAGGAAAACGTACAGATTTCTTGCTTAAAGGGGCAAATGGTTTCTTTGTGTTTGTCATAGAACTATTTTATAATGAACTAAGAAAATTC